CCGAAAGGCGGAGCCCCCCCCTCCTCTGACAGCGTCTTGTTCTCGCCGTCTTCACGTCAGCTGGCTTATTCCCCAAGTCTTTCCAGAATAAGGAAAAGGCGCAGTATCCGAGTACGATGCAGAAAGTAAGCAATTTTGCATAAGCTACAGCGGCAACAACAAAGCGGTAAGTGATCGGTGGTCACACCGCGCGTAACCAGAGCCTGGCACAGTACGTGGAAAGATCCCCTGGGCGGCGAGCCTGGTCTGTGCTGTCTTATACCGGACGGAACGGAAAACTTCTGCGGCCCGCTATTTCAAAGCGTCTCAACCAAGAACCAGTTTTAAACATGTGTCCAGACACCGACTTCTATTCACAGACTTCGCCGTACCACAGAAACCACTCTCGGCTTGGAACACAGAAATATTACCCCTGTTGAAGACAGCCAACATACGCTGTGCAAAAAGAAATTGTAATTACCCAATCTCTGGCTATATCTCCACAGGAGAAACCGAAGAAAGGCAACTGGGAAGCAACGTGGAGTCTCCTGAGAATAAAATCTGCAGACAGCACCACCTGTTGCTACTTACAGTAACAGCTAAAACCAAAATATAGAAGCGTTGGGCTTTACATTCTGGTTTTATATAAAGGGAAAAGAGGATCTTGTGACCTCTTCCTCTGAGAGCATTTCCATTTTCAGGGACTCTGGCCTCGAACTCCTTCCTACTCTCCCCTCAGCAGCAGCTCTTTAGCCACCTGCAGTTCCCGTTGGCCTGCTTTCAGTGGTGGGGACTACACCTCATCCAGGCTCCCTTTCCCACAAAAGGTCGGGCCAGATGATCTTTTGAGGTCCCTTCCAACCTGGGCTGTTCTGTGCCTCTACAAAAGCAGGCTCGCGAGCAAAATAGATGGAGAAAAAGCAAGTACAGCCACAACAGCTGGTAAAGTTCCGTACTGAACTGGACTAAAAATACAGTAGAAAACAAAATCAGTCAAACCGTGTAAAAGTAATCAGAGCGGTAGTGTGGCTGCCACAAATCGGGTATAGGCTGGGCAGTATTTGCCAGCCCTTTCTGCCCGAGTATGTGGCCCGTGGAGTTCAACTGTATAAAAAGACATTCATGGCTCCCTAAAGACTCGGAGCTATGGCCATCTTTTCCTCCACCTCCTTTCTCTCCCGTGTTTGTTTTACCAGAAGTAACCTAAACTTACCCAGGCTTTTTGTCTTGTAATCATTTGAAGTGTTCCCTCCGGCCCACTTGCTGCAGGAGTTAAGGTATTATTGAGATCAAACAACATGAAATCCTTAGAGCTGTGAAAATACAGGATTTCCTGCCTCAGAGCTACCAAGCCCTACTCTTTAATTCCACTAAGGAAGCACAGAGCTACGATAAAACCACATGCCCAGGGACTGGAAAAAGAAACGGGCATCTGTGTCAGGGATATATTGTATCGGTACGGTTGGAAGGTACCAGAAATGTTCACTTTGAAAGATAACAGGAAAAACCCTTCAGTCTACCACTTAGCTTTAGAAAGGCCCATGTTTAAAATGCAACTGTTTGCACACAACGCATCAGGTAAAACAAGTCTTCAATTTGCTGCGAGGCAAGATTTTCCTACTAGCTATATATAGATCGTAACTTCCTTTTCAAAACCTACGAGAACACATGAAAAAAGCGCAGAGGTTAGTCTGCGTGTGCTGCTAACGCTACAGATCATTTGCTCCTTGGTCAGAGTTTCCTAGGCCGCCCTGCTGAGGTGGAAAGAAAGGGACGTGGCGGCGGACGCTGCATCAGAGGAGCCCCCACGCCACCGAGTGCTCCCCTGCCCTCCTGGGGCACACGTTATCATGGGAACACAAAGGCAGAGAAAGAACAGCGGCACTCCTGCTAACAAAGCGCAAGTCAAAAGGTGGAAAGCGGGAGCACAGCGGAGAGCCGACATTGTTTGAGGCAGAGCTGGGGGTTAGGAGGGGAAAGCACAGCAAAGCCTTAGCCCGGGAGACTCAACAGGGAGAGGCAGCTCGCCCAGCGCGGATGTGGGGGAGATCACAAACATCCTGCTCGGGAAAGCAGCCGAACAGGGCGATGGAGGCTGTGGAAGGAGGGAGGAAGGGAAATTCCCAGTTACAGGCGCGGGGCGGGAAAGGCTGTCAGCTGTGAGAGCAGGAGAGGGCTTGACAGGATGTCACGGGAGAGGGTACGAACAAAATTACCACCTACCGAAAAGGTCAGAGAGCATGAGAACGTAGTGCTGATCAGATGGGGGTTCGGTTTACACACACAGATCTGAGCAATTTCTGTGAAGCTGGAAGAGCAGAATAGATTTTAAAATCAGGTTCTTATCACCCCCTACATCTGACCCGCGTAACGGGGACCACGGTTTCACCGCCAGCAATTCCAGCAGTCTGGTAACAGAATTCTGTTTCAGCTAAACCATATGCACAGCCATCCATCCATGCTGAAATTCTTCAGGTCATAGCAGCCCCGCTTTATTCTTTGCTAATTACTTACTCTCCGTTAGTTACCTCTACAGTTACAGTAGGAAGAAAATTGCCGTGGTCGTTTACTGTAGGGCAGCGCAGTGGACGGAGGTGATGGTAAGGAGCTGGAAAGGGGTGAGGGAAGGAGGGTGCGCGTGGAGAGCAGGGCTTGCAGTTTCGATGACTTGGAGATGTGAGCTTTCAAAGGACAGAAAAAAAGAAAGGAAGAGTTTCCTGGAGAGCCCAGCAGATCGAGACAGAGCTTGGTCTCAATAGGAAGGTGGCAAAAGATGACACGGTACTTCGTATTCTTGCTCTAGGAGTTGACAGCGTTCCTGCACTCAAACAGCTTCAGCTGATCTCATCGAATAATACTTCTGGCTGTATTAAAATAGCTGAGATTGTAAACCAGAAAACCCCCTGAAGAGTCACTAGGAAAGGAAGGTGGGAAAATCATGCCCGGTAATGCCTCGCAGAACATGGAAACGGTCGAGGGGAAAACTGACCCGAAAACAAAACACCTCCCCACAAACGCCTCTTCAGTCTCAGACATCAGCTGCGACAATCTCAGATCGTACTGGCAGTGCGCACAGCGCCAGCCCGACTTCCTGTAGGGGCGCGGGGAGCTCCGCTTCACTGTGACGGAGCCAGAAATCTTAAGATACTGAATAAGCTGAATTTGGTACGCTGAGTACTTAAAACCCCCAGCGGTTTTGGCCTCTTTTAGTGGCATT